CTTTTGTATTGTGTGGGGTTTTTTTTTGGTCTGTATGTCATTTATTTCCGCTCTGATCTTTGTTATTTCCTTCGTTCTGCTCACTCTGGGCTTTTCTTGGTGCTCTCTTTCTAATTCTTTAAGTTGCAGAGTTAGATGGCTTATTACCAGTTTTTCTTGTTTTTTGAGGTAGGCCGTAATGCTATGAACTTCTCTCTCAGGACTGCTTTCACTATGTCCCATAGATTTTGGATTGTTGTGTTTTCATTGTCATTTGTTTCCAGGATGTTTTTTATTTCTTCTTTGATCTCTTTGGTAACCCAATCATTGTTTAATAGTATGCTATTCAGGCTCCAAGTGTTTGAATTTTTGTGATTGCTTTTTTTGTAGTTGATTTCTAGTTTTATGCCATTGTGATCTGAGAAGATGCTTGATATGATTTCAATCTTCTTGAATTTGGAGAGACTTTTCCTGTGTCCCAATATGTGGTCTATCTTTGAAAATGTCCCATGTGCACTTGAGAAGAATGTATATTCTGTAGCTTTGGGGTGGAATGTTCTGAAGATGTCGATTAAGTCTATCTTACCTAGTGAATAATTTAGGATTGCTGTCTCTTTGCTGATTTTTTGTCTAGAGGATTTATCCAGTGATGTTAAGGGGTATTAAAGTCTCCTGCTATGATTGTATTGCTTCAATCTCTCCCCTGCTATCTTCCAGAAGTTTTTTAATGTATTTCAGTGCTCCTACTTTGGGTACATATATGTTTACCAGAGTTATATCCTCTTGTTGTATCAATCCCTTTAGAATTACAAAGTGGCCTTTCTTGTCTCTTGTTATGGTCTTCACTTTAAGGTCTATTTTCTCAGATATAAGTATTACTACCCCAGCTATTTTTTTCATTTCCATTTGCCTGAAAGATATTTTTCCATCCCTTCACTTTCAGTCTGTGTGAGTCCCTTGTTCTGAGGTGGGTCTCCTGTAGACAGCATATATATGGGTCATGTTTTCTTATCTATTCAGTCACTCAATATATTTTGATTGGAGCATTTACTAGTAATCCATTTACGTTTAATGTTATTATTGATAGGTACTTGTTTGTAGCCATTTCTATTCTTTATGCCTGTGTTCCTCCCTCCCTTTCTATTTCTTCCTTTTACAGCATTCCCTTCAGCATTTATTGCATTGCTGGCTTATTAGTGATAAACTCCCTTAGCCTTTTTTTTTTTTTTTTTTTTTTTTTGTCTGTGAAGCTCCTGATTTCCCCTTCAATTTTGATTGATAGTCTTGCTGGATAGAGTATTCTTGGATTCAGTCCTTTGCTTTGCATCACTTTGTATACTTCATTCCATTCCATTCTGGTTTGACGTGTTTCTGTTGAAAAATCATTTGATAATCTTATGTGGAATCCTTTGTAGGTAACTCTCTTTCTCTTGCAGCCTTTAAGATTCTCTCTTTGTCATTAACATTTGCCATTGTAATTATGATGTGTTTTGGTGTGAGTCTTTTGGGGTTCATCTTGCTTAGGACTCTCTCTACTTGGGTGACTTTTTTTATTCCCCATATCAGGGAAGTCTTCTGTCATTATTCCTTCAAATATATTCTCTAATCTTTGCCTGCTCTTCTTATTCTTCTGTCACCCCTATTATACGTATGTTACTTTGTTTCATGTTGTCCCAAAGCACACTTAGGCTCTCCTCCTGCTTTTTAATTTTTTTATCCAGTTGCTGTCCAGATTGGGCTTGTTTCTCTACCTCATCTTCTAACTCTCTAATTCAGTCCTCTGCTTCTTCTAGTCTACCATTGAAACCTTCCATCCCAATTTTTTTGTAGCTATATCACTTTTGATTTCTTCCTGATTTTTGCATAGGTTGTTGATTTTCTCGTCCATCCTGTTTATGAACTGTATGACCATTACTCTGAATTCTTTTACTGATATATTGCATGCCTCCGTTTCACTTATTTCCTTTCTCGGTGATTACTCTTTTTCTTTCCTTTGGGGATTGTTTTGTTGTCTCTCCAATCTAGCTATCACCAGAAGGTCCATATGCCGAGTTGGGGGGGCCTGAGCCGTGTGTGGCAGCAGCATCATGCCACCAGAGTGTCACTGAGGAGCTCAGACACCGAGACGTGTGGCTGCAATGGTTGGCAGGAGCCACATGTGCCTGCGCTGAGATTCAGAGTCACAGGTGCTCAGTGCAGCCTTGTGCGTACGCCGAGAATCAGGGTCCCTGCACATGCGCGCTGAGAAACAGAGTTCCTGCATGCCTGTACTGAGGATCAAAGTCCCCGTGTATGCACACTGAGCATCGAGAATCAGAGTCTCTGGCGCTTGGTGCAGCCTCAAGTGTGCTCCAAGAATCAGGGTCCCCGTGTGCACACGATGATAAACAGAGTCTCCGCGTGCACATGCCTAGAATCAAAGGCACTGGCGCTCAGTGTGGCCTTCAGCACGTGGGCTGATAAAGTCCCTGGCTTGCTAGGGGGACAGGGTTGCACAGCCTCCCAGTGTCGGCAGGAGGCCCACTCATGTGCCACCGATCACGCAGACCCTATGCCGCTGCCTCAGGCCAGCAGCGAGGGGGATGCCCTCTGTGTCTCACAGAAATCTGTGGCCTGGATGTCTGGAGTCTCAGTGTCCCTGGGTCTGCAGCTGCTATGGTAGCAGGTCTTTGTCCAGAGTGGCTGTAGGATCCCGGTTTGCATCTGAGGCCAGTCTGAGTGGTGGTGAGGTTAGAATCCTAGTCACAGCAGTTCTGTCCTTGAAGATGGCATGGTTTCTGTGCCAGCGCCAGCCACCCGGGAGTGTTTGCAGCAGCAGTGGGATCTCGCAATCTAAGACCACCTGGTCAGCCAGCCCCCGAAAGTCCTTCAGGATCTAACTGTCCCTAGCTCACACACACACACTCTCCAGACACGTCTACACACTCCCCTTTTGCTCCTTCACTCTCTTACACTCTCTCTCCCCCTGCTCTCTCCGCCATCTGTCTCCTAGTATATGATGTTTTAATTGTTTTACTGCATTCAGTGTGCTAATATTTTCTTGAGGATTTTTGCATTTATGCTCATCAAGGATATTGGTTTATAATTTATTTCTTTTTGTAATCTCTTTGTCTGGTTTTGGTATCAGTGTAATATTGGGAGGGCCACTGAGATTTAACTTTCTTTGGTAAGGAGTTTGGCCTAAATGTGCTTAGTCCCAAAGGTTAGAAATACTTGGGTTGGTTTTTTTTTGCTTTGATTTAGTAATTACTTCTCTGACTAGAGCACCAGGACCTGATCCATAGTAGGTAGTCAGTACTTTTTTTTTTTAAATCCTCACCTGAAGACTTTTTTCCCCATTGATTTCTAGAGAGAATGGAAGGGAAGGGAGAGAGAGTCAGAGAGAAAAACATCAATGTGATAGAGACACACTGATCAGTTGCCTCCTGAATGTGCCCCGACCTGAGTGAACCTGCAACCCAGGTACGTGACCTTGACTGAGAATAGAACCTGCAACCCTTATGTCTGAGGGCCGATGCTCTTAACCACTGAGCATACCAGCCAGCGTGGTACTCAGTACTTTTTAAAGCTGAATTGACCTTGGATTCAGTTTTCCCATATGAAATGGTAAAAATAAATTAAATATGATTATGAAATGTTCAATATATTTAGGCCGAATCTATAGTAGAATTATCCTTTTAGTCTCCTGCTTATAAGTAATGTTTACAGGATTTTGTTTTGATGGAGAGTCTTATCTATAATAATAAAAGCATAATATGCTAATTAGACTAGATGACCTTCCGGACAAAGCCAGGGCTGGGAGGGAAGACCAGGTCCCGGGTGTCTGCCGGCAGCCAGAGGGAAACCCGAGTCCCGGGTGCCAGAGGAAGCCTGAGTCCTGGGTGACAGGGAAGACGATGCTGGCAGCAGGGAAAGGAAGGCCTACTCTTGCACAAATTTCGTGCATCGGGCCTCTAGTATGTAATAAGATAATAATTTTCCATTAGAGATTTTTACTTCCTAAGATTAAATGAACAGCCCTGACCGGTTTGGCTCAGTGGATGGAGCGTCGGCCTGTGTACTGAAGGGTCCCGGGTTCGATTCTGGTCGGGGACATGTACCTTGGTTGCGGGCACATCCCCATTAGGGGACGTGAAGGAGGCAGCTGATCGATGTTTCTAACTCTCTATCCCTCTCCCTTCCTCTCTGTAAAAAATCAATAAAATATATTTTTTTAAAAAGATTAAATGAACCAAAAAGAGAATCTATTAAGCAGAGGTAAAACCAAATGAATTTTTATATTGAGATTTCTCAATAATTTCAGTAATAAAAAAAGAATGAAATTGCATGTATGAAACTAAGTTTAGCTTCTAGATGATATAGAATACATAATTACATTGAGAGAGCTTCATGTGTTCTTTCCAATTGTCTCATTTGACCAGCAAATGGCGTACTAGAAAGAGCATTTGACTCAGAGCCAGAAGATCTGGTTTGGGCTTTGCTATTAACCCAACTGTGTAACTTTGTGTAGGTTACAAACCCTTGAGCTGTAGCTTCCTCATCTGTAAAGTGAAGTTTTTCAATAGCCAATAGTGAATTATATATCATCTAAGACTTGACTATCTCTCTTCCTGCCTACTTCTTGATTACTTCCCAGCTCATTAACATCACTACCTGAAATTGAGGGAGATTTAAAGAGAGAGAGAGAGAGAGAGAGAGAGAGAGAGAGAGAGAGAGAAAGAAGGGAGCTTAGAAATAAGAACATGCAGAAGCCAAAAATTAATAATAAAAAAATAAAATAAAATGCTGACAATTAAGCGTTTGCTTAAGGAAAAGTTTGGATCCAGTAGCCAAAATAAGATTATAGGTTATCATTGATGTTATCCATCTGTTCCTTTCCTCACTCTCTTTATTATAGATAAGAGTAAAGCCATTTATTGAATAAAATGAATCCTTATATGCTTGATTAAAGTGAAAGAATGAGATTTATTGTCCTAGAGACCTGACATTTACAATCTGATTTATTTTTCTCATCAAGAAATCTTTATTCTTTAATTCTTTTTCTTCAGAACCTACCATGTAACAGATGTGAATTTAAATAATAACATCTGACTGGTTTGCAATGTTGTACATATTTCTCTGCCTAAAAAAATAAGTTTTCATATTAGTTTCTAATTGGTATAAGTTCTAATTGTGCTACTGACTCAGTTTTTAATTTTTTTGAAGATACCAATATACATTTATCACATTTCAATCTAAGGAAGGGGTTAATTTAAAATTTGATAACATTAATACCAATAGGTGATATTCCTAGTGCATTTTCATAATTGGACGTCAAAGGCTTTGCAGTACTTCTTATTTCCAAGGCAACAAGAACTACCCATAGTATCACAGTGATTAAAATTTCAGTGAAAAAGATATTGAGCACTCAGCTCTGCATAAGACTTCATTTAATCTTAATTTTCAGTTTTTAACCTTAATTTTAATTGGTGAGTGTCTTTAATCCAGGAATTGGTTATCTTTGGTTTAATTTTATATTACGTGGTATAACCAGGAAGAATGTATGTTGCAAAAATGAAAAAGCTTTTCCAAAAAGCAATCGTAGAGAAGGTCACAGTATGAATTTTATCAGTGAAAATGGGACTTTTTATTTTCTAACAGGAAATATAAATCCCCTAACCTCAGAGCAATGCATGATGTTTTTTTCTAGACTGAATGGGTGAATAAATACATATGCACAAACTGTAAAGCCAGCAAAGTACTAGCCTTACTCACATATATTAGTGTAAGTAAAAAAGTATTCTATTCCTCACACTGTATACCAAGATAAATGAATCAAATGAATCAAAAAAGTGAATCCATAAAAGTAACAGAAGAAAACGCAAGTGATTCTTCCATATCCTGGAAATGGAGAAATTTTTCCTATGACTCAAAAATCTAAAAACACTAAGGTAAGAAAGGGTTGCTAAATTTCATTGTATAAATGAAAATAACTTTGGGAACCATGAGCAAAGTTAAAAAAAATAAATTGAAAAACTATTTGCCACTTATAATTATCCCTGGTATACTAGTATAAAAGAACTATTAAAAGGGAGAGAAGACCTAAAACTCTATAGAAAATGGACTAAAGATATCAGCAGAAAAACAAATGAAAATGGTCCTTAAACATATGAAAAGATGTTCAGTTTAACTCATGGTAAGAGAAATTAAAATTCAAATTATACTGAGATGTCATTCTTTTCCTATCACATTGGCAAAAATCCAAAAGTTCCACAACATTTTCTATTGATTGGGCTGTAGAGACATGGGCACTCTCATACATGGCTTGTGAGTATGCAAAATGGCACAACTTCGTGGAGAGGAATTGGACAATATCAGAGAAAATAACCCATGGGCTTACCCTTGACTCAACATTCCCACATCTAGAGAATTATCCCGAAGATACACTGGCAAAAACATGCAAAGGTAGCAGCCCTGGTTTCTCCTTTTTCTAATAAGGCAATCAAGGCTTTATAAGATTGAGTAAATTCCCAGGGCCACAAACCTAATAAGTGGCCTAGCCACATGCAGACCTTTAAACAATGCTAACCATAGATTTGAGCTCTGCTTATTAACTAAAGAGGAGTGTTCTTTTTATTTGGGAGTATGCAGATTGTTTTTAATATATGGACTTGGCCTTTGTTAACTCTGAAGTCTGATGCCACTAGATTAACATGTGTTGCAACCTTCCGTCTGCTTGAGAGCATATGGAGATTGTAATGGGGGAAAGATGAAACAAAAATGGCAAAACGATTCATAATTGTTGAAGCTGGCTAGTATGTACAAGGGGACTCATGGTTTATTACACTTTGAAGGTTTGCCATTTCCCATAATTAAAAAGATTTTTGTTGTCATTGTTTAAAGAGGACCTGACTAGATTTTAATGAGTAAAGTAAATTTAGAAAATTGACTAATATTTATTCATTGAGCTATTTATTTATAGAACATCTATCTGCTTATGTGCTATCACTGAGCTAAGCTTACCTCAAGTAGTTTACATATTCACAAGAGGAAAAAGGTATCTATATCGTATGTCAGAAACATCTGCACATTCAAATAATGTAAGATTCAAATGTGACTTTTATTCAGCAATCCTGTGTCCCTTTGTTACTTACTAGGTATGAAGTAAAGTGCTAGGGATGGAGAGAATACATTTTAGAGTAGAAGGCCTAAAACGTCTTTAGAGTGTATGGTCAGAAGTTTTGGATGCTTTGTGGCCTTGGAGCAAAGTTACTTTTAAAATTAAATGTTGGGGTGACATTATTTAATAGGACCACATAAGTTTCAAGTGTACATGTCTGTGATACTCATCTGCATATTGCATTGTGTACCCACCACCCAAAGTCAAATCTTCTTCTGTTGCCATATATTTGGCCCTCTTTACTTCCTCCCCACCCCTCTTCCCTCTGGTAACTACCATACTGTTGTCTCTATCTTTGAGTTTCAGGTTTATGTCCCACATATTAATGAAATCATATGGTTCTTAGCTTTTTCTGTCTGACTTATGTCACTTAACATCTTCTGATGTACTCTTTCCTTTTTAAGCATTCAGAGTTTTGGTCTGGATAGTCTTTTAGCTTTGGAAACCGGTATGTCTCTGGAGTGCTGGCTATATGAGTGGGACACAGAAGAGTGGGATCTGGCTATTGTACCTATGCTGGTCTCAAGACAGAAAGATAAAAGAAACCTTTAAATCTCCTTATACAGGTTCTCAGTTCCAATTAAGCAAGATAGAAAGAAGCAACAACTTAAAAAGGACTTTAGCTAGTTACAGGAATAAATCTAAGAGTACCTAGCTGCGACAGGCAAAAGCAACAGAAGATAATGGTTAAGAGTACCCACTTTGGGCCAGATTTGTGTGTATAGGTAATTTATTGCGCTTATTTTTCATCAGAGTAGTTGAATGATGAGTCTGTGTCTGGGTGTGTTCAGGAAAATGAAGGCAAGTGAATATGTCTGTGTGTGTTTGTAATTAAAACTGTTACATGTTTTATTTTATTTTTTTTTTGATCAGTATACCCATAATACCTATATTTTTTGTTCCTCTTAGATTCTTTTCATGTTCATCTTCAGTGAACAGTATAAAACAGAAGCACTACTAAACCCCATGAAATTATAATGAAAACAGTTTTTGTTGTTGATTTTACCTTTGTCAATCTCCAAAACAACTTTAAACATTAACCCAAAATATTCTCCTGTTACCTCCTCCAACAGGCAAAGAATCAGTATTAAAAATTGCAGCTAGAGAGTGTCTCTTCCCCCAAAATTTATAAATAGTTTTTTAGGATAAAAGTACCTCTTCACAAAGAAAAATAGCATCACAACCGTGATATTATAACAAACCAAGATTAAATCATAGCTCTAAATTTGGTATCACTGCCGTTGACCTGACAAGCTATAAGTCTGAATATCTCATCTGAATTAGAGACATGGGTCTAGTGCACAGATGCATTTTATGTGTGTTTATACATCCTGGGAGAATCAACATAGAAGAGACAGATCCGTTTGTAGAGTGTTTCTAAAATGTTGCTTGAGGTTTCTGTAATTTAATTCTCTTGGTATTTTCTGCATTTTGGAATTCTTCCCAGGACAGTTTATTAGTACTTGGATTTTGGTTTCAGCCTCTTTCCTTTCTCCTTTTTACTTTTAATGTTTTCAGTGAATACTTGGACTGTGAAGGTTAAGAAAACCAATAGTTCCAGAAACTAAATTCTATATTTAACTGCAGACTGGGTGTGGTTCAGACAACTGCAATGCAAGCTTGCTAGTGTGTTTTGCCAGTCATCAAAACCCTGACCTGCAGGGAACATTTCGTTTCCTAGTCTTCTGACTCTGGAATATGCTGAATTATGATGATGTGGTGATATATGGTATCCACTTTTGTGGGTGTAAATAAAATATAGACAAAAGAGTTGCATAGGTTCAAACTTGAAGTCACTCTGGAAGATGTTTCTTTTGTGGTGTTCTATAATAATCTCTGAATGATATTAACCTGCCCTGTTTTCATGGTGCTGCTTCCCATAATTCTTTTACCTTTTTAAAAAACATTATTGTTCTTTTTATTTTAGAGACAGAGGAAGGGAGAAGGGAGAGAGAGAAAGAGAAACATCGATTGGTTGCCTCCCATATGTGCCCCAACTGGAAATCTAACCTGCAACCCTTTGGTGCAAGGGACAATGCTCCAACTAACTGAGCCACCCATGCAGGGCCTTTTATTACCTTTAATTACCACTGGGCAATTAAAAATTTTTTTATACAAGAAGTCTTTACTTTAGCTCCCATTTCATGAATTCATGTTTTCTTTTAATGTTTTGTCCTTCTTGGTTTGCTTGTTATTTGTCAGTTTGATAAAATAATATTAATTACCATAAAAATAGAGAAATAACTGTTTGTTTTCCTAGTAAGATTTACCCTCCTTTAAAAAAGGAAAAACACTGTCTCTTGAAGAGAATCCTGTTACTTTGTAAAATGGAGAAATAATCACCTTTTTCTTCCTTAGCAGTATTCTTGTGTATTGTTTTGTGTAATGTCCCAGTATTATTCATACTAAACAGAACTCCATGAAGAGACCTGCTCATTTTAGTAAGTTTACACCTCAGAGCAGAAACGCTTATAAATGTTTCCTTATACTATTCTTCTGAGAGATTGAGACCTATCCAGATGTTTCTTTGAATGACAACTTGTATCATCCTATATAATAAAGAGATATTATGCAAATTAACCCTCATGCCATCACCAGATGGCTGCGCCCACAGCGGAGGCGGGGTTCCTGTAACAAGCCATAACGAGCGATCAGCAGGAACCTTAGGCTGCATGGCACTGGGCCGGGGCCGGGGACCTGAGGCTGTGCCCCCACCCAGCAGGGCTTGACAGAGGACCTCAGGCCACGCCCCCCGCAACGGCCGGAGGCCAAGTTCCTGTAACGAGCCTTAACTAGCAATCAGCAGGGATCTGAGGCTGTGCCTCCCCCGCCCCCCCATCCCCCCGGTGTGGCTTGACCAGGGAACCTCGGCTGTGCCCCCCCCCACCCGGCACCGGGCCAGGGAACCTGAGGCTGTGCCTCCCGCCCAGTGCCGGGTCAGCGACCTGAGGATGTGCCCCCAGCCCAGTAGGGCTTGACGGGGGTGGGGCCGGCCAAGTCTGGATCTCGCCCAGTGGGGTAGGTGCTGGCCGGGTCTGGGTCTCACATGATTTTGAGGCGCGTGTGGGTGGGCAGGGATTTGACTCTGGGTCCTGAGGCACGCCCCAGACTCTGACAAGAGGAAGCTATTCACATTTTACTAATTTTCTTTCATCTCTGACATTTCTTTATAGAGAAAGGGCAAATAGCAATATTAAAATATTTCCTCTAATCGATTCCCTTTTATTGTGCATGAATTTCGTGCACCAGGCCACTAGTTTATTTATTTAAAAAAAAAATCCATCATTTCAACATACGTACATATGTGCTTTATGTTTTTTATTATTTACCACAAGTAAAGGTCAGGAATTGTTATCTTTCTTTTAAATTTTTTTTACTGTTTCACTTTATTACTGCTGTGTATGTGCTCCATGTGAGTGATGTAGGTGCTTATGTAGGTGGATTCAACTTACAGTGAAAATCACGTTACATCGCGCCATAGGAACAGATCTCTGATGTAACCCGAGGACCTACATAGACATACAAAGGTAAAGATTTGGATGGTAATACTTTTAAATAATGGTTCACCCTAAGTGTTGAATAGTTAGTATATTTTTTGTTACCTTTTGTCTTTTGTGTTTTCTGATAATATTGTTGTTAAAAATAAAAATTTTTGAATTAAGTCTGGGGTTTCAGTCTCAACTGTGCTACGAGCTATATATCCTTAGGCAAATTACTTGCTATAAAAGGGGTGCTATGATTTAATACTAAATAAATGACAGTGCATGCAAAATAAGCATGGTATATTACACACATAGTAGGTGTTTAATAAATATATTCTTCCTACTACTAAACAGTTAGTACAAAAATATTAAATAAGAACTTTCAAAAGGAATGCTGTGATTTCTTCAAATGGCATTTTCTGAAGAGTTATTTTCTATATTTCTAAGACTTAGCCAATAAAAGTCTTGCATTGTTTTACTCACAAGGAAGTCATTCATCACCAGTGCTGAAGCATATTGTAATAATGCAATTTTTCTTCTATTGTTTAACACTATTTCATTCACATGTTTCTTCAAATTAGGCCATATCTGTCATTTTACCATGACATTCCACTTAATAGATTTACCATCATTGCCTTAGCCTCTTGCAAAAAGTATCATGGTTGCCCTGACTGGTTTGGCTCAATGGATAAAGCATTGGCCTGCGGACTGAAGGGTCCCAGGTTCGATTCCGGTCAAGGGCATGTATCTTGGTTGTGGGCACATCCCCAGTGGGGAGCATGCAGGAGGCAGCTGATCGATGTTTCTCTCTCATCAATGTTTCTAGCTCTCTATCCTTTTCCCCTCCTCTCTGTAAAAAAATCAATAAAATATATTTTAAAAAATAAAATAAAATACAGCCCTAAATTTAAAAAAAAAAAAGTATCATGGTCAAATGTAAAGAAATTGGGAAAAAATTTACTGAATTTCCTATCCAAACAAAAGTACTATCCTGGTCAGATGGTTTCTTTGGTGTCTGCTCAATTCAGCAGCAACATAACGAAGAAAATGAGATTTAAGTTTCTTTGTGATTGTGAAGTACTGAAGACAGTTTTACTCTTAGAAATAAAATGAAAAAATAAGCAAATTTGTTCTAAGCAGTGAGAATGTTTTTAATTTCCTCATTTTATAAGGAAGAAAGAAGTAATTCTCACTACCTATATTGATAAAAGGTAGGTGAATAATGATTTCTTTGCATTTTTAGGTATTTCAATACCTTAAGATATTTCTTCATTATAATACTAGAGACCCGGTGCACAAAATTCATGCACGGGGAAGGGGTGTCCCTCAGCCCAGCCTGCACCCTCTCCAATCTGGGACCCCTCGAGGGATGTCCCTCTCACAATCCAGGACTGCTGGCTCCCAACCGCTCACCTTCCTGCCTGCCTGATTGCCCCTAACCGCTTCTGCCTGCCAGCCTGATCACCTCCTAACCACTCCCCTGCCAGCCTGATCGACGCTTGACTGCTCCCCTGCCGGCCCGATGGAACCTAACTGCCCTCCCCTGCTGGCATGGTCACCCCTAACTGCCCTTCCCTGCCGGCCTGGTCACCCCTAACTGTCCTCCCCTGCAGTCCTGGTTGCCCCCAACTGCCCTCCCCTGCTGGCCCGGTCACCCCAA